ACACTGTGCTAAGCTGTCTCCTAGGTCCGAGCAGAAGCTGCTTTTCTGAGTCTCTAGGATACCAGGAGAGCTATGCTTGCTTTTGAACAATTGCAGTGATATAGGCTCTGATGACCATTATTTGCCTTTTCTCACATTTGGGTTTGCATCCTAAAGGTGGCAAGTTACTTTGGAATGAATTGTAGGAGGGGGGTAGGAGGATGGTCAGTGCCACATAGGCATAAGATGCTTTTCCTTCTATTCTCCCCACCCCCTGCCCCCCAACAGGGATCCAGGGAGTGGTGGAATCGTACCAGAGCTGCCTACCCAAGATCCAGCTCTATGGCCCCACCAATGTGGCACCCATCATTGCCAAGGTCGCCAGGATGGCAGCAGCTGAGGAGAGAACTGGGGAGGCCTCTGTATGTACCCAGAATGTACCTGGTGATACAAGAAACGGGCAACTTAGAGCATTATCTGGATGATCTCGGGGGCATTTATGTCTTTGGTGTCTACATCATAGTTATTTCTGGAAAATATTTGCCCTTTTCTTCCTTCTTCTCTTCCTTTTCCCTCCCCTTTCCCTCCCCTTTCCCTCCAAATTGAACCCTTTCATGTAACAAAGAAAAACCATTAAACAAAACGTTCCTTGTCTGACAATGTATCCAGCCCTCTAACCTCATAGACTCTTCTCTGCTTAATGGAGGGAGGCTTGTTTCATTATGTTTCCCAGTTCCATTACCAATTGTTCAATTACACAGTTTGATGTTTTCATTTAAATTGTTGTAGTCACTATGGATATTGTCTTTTCAGTTTTGCTGATTTCATTCTGCATCAGTTCACAGAAATCTCCCCATGTTTTTCTGCATTTCCCGTACCCATCATTTCTTACCATACCATGACAATTCTATCATACTCATCTAAGAGTTTATTTGACTGTTGTCCAAACAATGTCTGGCCAAGGCTTTCCCAGAAGGCTCCTCCCTGAGCCAGCCCTTTATCAACCTTAAAGCGTCAGACACATGTAAATTATGACTAAGACATCAAAATATAATATCATGTAATTGAATCTGGATTATATTATCTTCCTATTATATACTATTAAACTATGGTTGACTGAAATGTCCCCAGAAGGCAGCCCTGAGGCTGTCTGCTAGTACGGGGGGGAGGAGCAGTTCTGCCTTTGGGGCTTGGCAAATTCTTGTGATCTCAAGGAACTTCTGCACATTGTTGGCAATTTCTTGCCTGGATTTACTTGGAAGCATAATAATGATAATTGACATTTATATTAGGCTTTAAAGTTTGTGAAGCATTTTGTGTATATTGTCCTACTTAAACTTCAGACAACCTAAAAAAAGTAGATGCTACAGGTATCCTCCCTTTTGTAGATGAGGAAACTGAGGCTCAGAGAGGTTAAGGGACCTGTCTGTGGTTATATAGCTCATGTCAAAGGTTGGACTGGAACCCAGGTCTTTTTGGCTATAAAGTCAGCCCTGATGGCATTTCCCCTATGGGGCTCAGAGGGAGGAGATGGGGAAGAGAGGAATTCTGGCTTAAAGGGTCATAGATTTAGAGATGGAAGGAACCAGTGAGTCCAGCCTTCTCATTTTACAGATGAAGAAACTGAGGCACAGAGAGGTTAAGTGATCTACCAAGATCACACAGCTAGTAGGTATCTGAGAGAGAATTTGTTTTTTTAAAAATATTTATTTATTTAGTTTTAGTTTTCACCATTAACTTTTTATAAGATTTTGAGTTTTAAATTTTCTCCCCTTCTTTCCCCTCCACCCTCCCCAAGATGGCATACAATCTGATATAGACTATACATGTATAATCATATTAAACATATTTCTACATTAGTCATGTTGTAAAGAAGAATTAGAACCAAAGGAGAGAAAAAGAGCAAACAGTATGCTTCGATCTGCACTCACACTCCACAGCTCTTTCTCTGGATGTGGATAACATTTTCCATCACGAGTCTTTTGGAATAGCCTTAGATCATTGCATTGCTGAGAAGAGCCCAGTCTATCAAAGTCAGTCATCCCACAGTGTAGCTGTTACCATGTGTGGTGTTCTCTTGATTCTGCTCACTTCACTCAGCATCAGTTCTTGTGATGTTGTGGTTGCTGTGTACAATGTTTTCCTGGTTTCTGAGCCAGAATTTGAACACAGATCTTCCTGACTCCAAGTCCAGTGTTGGTATCTACTATGCCCTGCTGCCTCTTTTAGTTAGAGGTTGGACTGGAAAACCTCTGATGCCCCTTCTAATTAGAGGCAGCTAGGAGGTACAGTGCATAGAACCCTGCACCTGGAGTCAGGAAGACCTGAGTGCAAATTGGACTTTGTACACTTACTAGCTGTGTGATTCTGGAAAAGTCTTAACCCACTCTCTGCCTCAGTGTCCTCATCTGTAAAATAGGGATAATAATAGCATCCTTCAGTTGTTATGAGGGTCAAATGGGATAAGGTTTGCAAAGTTCTTTGCAAACTTTGAAGTACAAATGCTTGCTATTATTCTAATTCTGAATTTCTGTGAAAGAACAGTTCTCTGGGGGCGGCTAGGTGGCGCAGTGGACACGGCACCGGCCCTGGAGTCAGGAGGACCCGAGTTCAGATCTGGCCTCAGGCACTTGACACTAGCTGTGTGACCCAGGGCAAGTCACTTAACCCCATTGCCTAGCAAAACAACAACAAAACCACCACCAACAACAAAAAAACAAAAACAAAGAACAGTTCTCTGTTGCCTGCTCCTCCTCTACCCATCTAACCCTAGTCAGTTAGGGTTACAGCTGGACTTGGAGGGGTTAATGTGATTCACCTAGAGAGCCAAAGGAAGTGGACATGTTGAAAGCAGAGAAGAAAACACTTAGAAATGACATGCCAACCATCTTCAAAGTATTTGAAGGGCCGTCCGTGGAAGAAGGTCTAATTTTGTTTTGCTTGGCTCCAGTGGGCAGTGATGTCTCAGTAGAAGTTAGGGTTGGAAGCAGCATGTAGACAGATTTAGGCTTGACATAAGGAAAAACTTCTGATACTAAGAGCTGTCCAGATGTGGAACGGATGGTGTTGGAGAGGTAATAGGTTCCCCCTTGCTGGGTGTCTACAGTCAAAGGTTAGACGACCAATTCATTTCAACCAACAGTTATTAAGCCTCTATAATGTGCAAGACATTGTGTTAGACATTGGAGATGCAAAGACAATGACAAAAAGGATCATGTTGTGGAAGGGGATCTTGTGATTCTCAAGCTCCAGCTGTGGCTACCTCAGAAAGCAAGCACAGCTATTGACTGGGATGACTTTAGCAATAATCATCAGTGTGGAGGGCCAAGGGAGGGAAGAAGTATGTAATGAGCCTGGCTGAACTTGATATGAGAAACCCAAGTGTCCTGGTCCTAGAGTAATTGAGGGTTGTGAGGCCCTATCAAAGTATCTGAAGTATAATTGAGAAGTCACTGGACTTGCAGTCAAAAGCATGGGATTCATGTGCTGGCTTTGCCACTTACTAGTTGTGTGACTTTGAGTAAATTCTTCTCTGTGCCTCAGTTTCCTCATCTGTAAAATGGAATTACAACCTGTCTTAGAGGTTAGTTGTGAGCAGTCAGTCAGTCACCCAAGCACTTATTAACAGCTCCTATGTGCTAAGCAATGTGCTAAGAGCTAGGAATGCAAAGAAAGGCAGAAACATGGTTCCTACTCTCAAGGTGCTCACAGTCTCATGGGAGTGGCCATATGTAAATAACTAGATATATACAAAATAGAGACAGAGGAGACAAAGGTAATCTCAGGAAGGAAGGCACTAGAAGCTGAGGAGACTGGGAAAAATCTTCTGCATAAGGTGAGATATATTTTTTTTAAAATATTTTATTTTTCCCCAGTTAACATGTAAAGACAATTTTTAGCATTCATTTAAAATTTTTTTGAATTCCAAATTCTTTCTCTCCTACTCTCACCTCTTACCTCCCTGAGATTGTAAGTAATTTGTTATAGATTTTACATGTTTAATCATGCAGAATATTATAAGGTGAGATATTCTGAGCTGAGTCTTGAAGGTGGCCTGGGAAGCTACGAGGCAGAAGTGAGGAGGGAAACATTTCAGCCATCAGAGACAGGTAGTGCAAAGGTGGGGAGATGGGAGTTGGCATGTCATTTTATTTTTATTTATTTATTTTGGCCAGGCAATGGGGTTAAGTGACTTGCCCAGGATCACACAGCTAGTAAGTGTCTGAGGCAGGATTTGAACTCAGGTCCTCCTGAATCCAGGGCCGGTGCTCTATCCACTGTGCCACCTAGCTGCCCATTGGCATGTCATTTTCAAGGAATAGCAAATAGGCCCATATTTCTGGAGTGTCAAGGGTATGGAGGGGAGTAAAGTATAAGAATAAATGTTTATTGATTGATTGAAGAAGACTGGAAAGGTCAGAAGGGGCTAGATTGTGAAGGCTTCGAATACTGGACTTTATATTTGATCCTGGGAATATCAGGGAGCCCCTGGAGTCTATTGAGTGTGTGTGTGTGTGTGTGTGTGTGTGTGTGTGTGTGTGTGTGTGTGTGTGTAGGGGGTGTGACATGGTCAGGTCTTTGCTTTAGAAATCATCTTGGCAGCGCAGTGGAGAATGGATTGGAGTGGGAGAGACTTGAGGCAGAGACCAGTTAGAAGGCTGCTGCAGTAGCCTTGGCAAGAGTGCTTTCTTTGTAGGGCTTGCACTTAGCTTTCATACTTTGGGATTAGTATCAGGTGGCAAAATACTTTACATATATCATCTCATAGAGATGCAAACTGTTTGGACCTAGGCTGGGAAAGCTGGGGAAGGAAAGTTATTAGCTTCTAAGGCAGGGGTGGGGACCCACGTGTGGCCTGCTAGGTCCTCAAGTGCAGCCCTTTGACTGAAGCCAGATTTTACAAAATTTGGTCAAAAGGCTGCACTTAAGGATCTAGAAGGCCACATGTGGTCTTAAGTCTGCAAGTCCCCCCCCCACCCCCAACCCCGGGCCTAAGGGATGCTTTTGTCTTCATACTCTGAGCATCCTCCCTTTGCCCAACTTTGCCTGTCAAGGCCTAGCTAGAACCTAGGCTGGTGGTAAGCCGGAGCCTTGGGCAGGCACTTAGAGCCCCCCCCCCATGCTGGCTTTGTGGAAAGGGCTCCATGCTGCCTGCTCCCCAGTCTCTCTGCTGCCCTTTAGCAACATTTGAGCAGCTGCTAATCACCACCAGGACCTCTTCTGTTAATACATCACTCCTGGCAAGTCAACAGACAGCAGCTGGTGAGATGTGACCGGTGGGGTGGGGGGAGGGGGCAAGGAAAGGTCAGGAATTACCCAGGGGTTGGCAAGCATCTGTGTGATTCATGTGCAGCGTCGGGGACCGACTTGGCAACCTCACTGCCGCCCTTGTCCAGGCAGGAGCAGCAGAGCCTCCTTTAGCAAGAGAGATCTGGTTGCATCAGGAGGGTCTGGGCTGAGGGTGGCCAGCCTTGGAACAGGGAATCCAAAACTCATTTAGGGTTTGGCATTTTTTGTCTTTTCTTTGAAAACGAATGTGTCTGATATTCTGAGGATTCATTAGGAACAAAATAATGAAATCCAAGAGGAGGAGCTGATTTAAGAAATATTGGCACGTCAGTGATGCCCCCCCCACTCCTGCTCCCCCTCCCCCTTCCGTATTTCCTATTCCATACTGGGGATGAATAATATCGCCCTTCAGACTGAAGTGGCAAAGGGTGACCTTTCTTCTTTTCCCTAAGCTTCCCATTTTTCTGACTAATACCTTCCTTGGAGGTGGAGGGATATAGATAATTTGGTTTAAAAGGTTTTCCTCTCAATCTTCTGCTGGATTCTAGGCTGTTGACAGAGGACTTAGTTAAGCTGTCAGTCAGAAAAGCATATTAATTAAGCCCTCACTGTGTGCCAGGCACTTGCTAAGAGCTGGAGATACAAAGAGTCCCTGCTCACAAGGAGCTCACATTCTAATGGGGGGAACAAGAAACAAAACAGCCAACATTTATAAAGTGCCAGGCACTGTGCGGAGTGCTTTATAATGATCATTTCATTTGACCCTCACAATAACCCTTCAAGGTAGGTACAATTATGATCTCCATTTTACAGATGAGGAAACTGAGGCAAACAGAATCAAGTGACTTGCCCAGGATCACACAGTCAGTAAAAGTCTGAGGCCATATTTGAACTCACAAAGATGAATCTTCCTGACTTGAGGCCCCACACTCTAGAGCCACTGTACTACCTAGCTTCCCCCAGCAAACGGTTGTGTACATACAGCGCAAGCAGCCTGTGTGATAGAAGCTGAGAATCAGTGTAGGACATGCTGCTTATTATAGACATTAATATACTGACCTACCCTTTCTTATCTGGAGCTCATCTGCTGTTTCTATTTAAACTATGATGGAACTGTGGAAGAATAGTCAGACTTCCCAAGTCTATGGAGATTAGAACCTGAAGTCTCTCCTGGAAAGAGAGAAGTCCTTACCACTCTCTTCAAGTTAGTGACCCAAGAAGAATCAGAGAAAACTATGGACTACAATGTGACACAAAGATTATGAACCAAATTTCCCAGGGAGAACAGGCAAGGAAACCTAGCTTCCTTCCCCATGGCAGAGAGGTGGGGGGTGACCAGGATAGAATAGTGTATACATTGCCAGATGTCATTGTATCAAATATTTCTGTTTATTTGTTTTTCTTTGTCACAAGGCACATTTCAGTCTGGAGGGGTTGAAAAAACTTATTTGTAGGAAAAAAGTGTCAGTGAAACACACTAAAAAGATCTTCCAGGGTAAAAGTGTCTTTCCTAGAGAGGCAGAGGATTATGGAATATTATAAGCTATATAATGAACTATATATATAAATGGAAATGAGTCTGAGGTCCATATGTTGATTCTTTTCTTTGAAATCTGAGTCGAAGATAATATTCCCCCATCCAGATAAGGGCCAGCCCCATTCTATCACCTGGATAAAGGGCAGTATTCAATAAAGGAGAGTTCTGGGATATACCACTTGGTTTTGACCATAAGAATGAGATGCTCAGAGGGGTTTAGGGGAGACAGGAAAAGGAGAGCGAATATTTGGGGTTTTAGTAGACATCACCTGGGCCTGGCACAGAAGATGGAAAGACTAAGATTAGATGAGCTCTATGAGCAAAGTCTCTAACTCAAGGAAAGTTTTGAATGGGGAAACAGACTTGCTCATCAAACTCATGCACATTAGGGTAAGGGGGTCCTCTCAAAGCTAAAAAACATGAGCTTAAGATGCTCCCCCAAAAAGGATCATTATGCTACTTTTTAAAGAAGATAAACAGACTTATGGAACTTTTACCAAGAGATGATACAAGGCTGAAAATACAAGTTCAAAAAAGTTTTAGGTAATCATGATGGGCTATGAAAGTGTAACCCAGGGGCAGCTATGTGGGACAGTGGATAGAGCACTGGCCCTGAAGTCAGAAGGACCTGAGTTCAAATCTGCCCTCAGACCAAACACTTGACACTTACTAGCTATGTGACCCTGGGCAAGTCACTTAACCCCAATTGCCAAAAAAAAAATAGTGTAACCCATGTGTTGACCAAGGATGGCTGGGCTGGGTTCAATCCTGGAGATTTCTCAATAATAAAACTTTTTATATGGCATGTGTTTTGTCCCCACATTGAGGACAGGGACTGTTTTTGCTTTTTCTTTGCAGCCCAAGTGCATAGTACGGTGCGTGCCTTGTTGACTTCCTATATATCCCTTAGTCTCCTTGTTAGAACCAAAATGTCAGGCTAGAAGGAGCACAGGCCCTCTCCTTTTTTAGGTCCTTCTGGGACAGAAGAATAAGGAATGTCCAGCTGGGAATACCAGGGTGAAGGATGTCCTTAGTTTGGCCAATGTTTCCATTTTGGGAAGAATACCTTGGGGCATGTGGGGTCCAACAGCCAACTTCAATGAATTAGTTCACTTTTTGGGTTCGAAAGGGTGTATGCAAGCACCATTGGGTGGTGGGAGGGGAGAAAGAGAAAGGGAAGAACTTTGGAAGGAGCAGTAAACAAAGGTCTCTACCTTAGAGAGTCTTACTAGAGGTCATAGGAAGGGAAAGGAGAGACTTGTGGCCTTTTCCTTCCCATAGAAAGTAGACAGCACCACCCCCACCTTCAGTCTTTCCTTCTAATTTAAGGGAGGCTATCAGGCTTCCCTCCACTGTCCTTCCTCTTTTCTCTTTACACAGCAATACTACATTCTCCTGATCCTGACCGATGGTGTGGTGACTGACATGGCAGACACAAGGGAGGCCATTGTACGTGCCTCCTACCTGCCCATGTCCATCATCATAGTAGGGGTGGGCAATGCGGACTTCACAGACATGCAGATTCTGGATGGGGACGATGGGGTCCTGCGTTCCCCCAAGGGAGAGCCTGTCCTCCGAGACATCGTACAGTTTGTCCCGTTCCGAGAATTCAAGAATGTGAGTGCTGTGGGGTGAGAACTGGCTTGTTTAAGGCCAAGAAGTACTGGGTGTTACCGGTGGTGTTGAGGGAGGGGATGTTGGCAGGTGGCATTGGAATGGGGTGCATGGAATCTAAATAAATGTGCTGGAGCCATACCATAATACTTCTATCTGTAAATTTGGTTTACCAAGGTTCTCTCTCAAGTCCCACCCAAGAGGATTTAGATACTAAAGTGCACAGAGGATGCTGTTATAAGTCAGTATCACTGCATGGACCTCAACAATCTCCAGTAATCAGGGATTGTATACCTTACATTTATATGACACTATATACTTTCCAAAGTACTTTCGTGTACATTAACTCATTTAATCCTCACAACAGTGGCCTGAAGTAGGTAACAGGTACTTTTCCCATTTTATAGATGAGGAAATTGAGGCACTGAGAAGTAAAGGGAACTTGCTCTGAGAAGGCTGCATTTTCTTTTGTTAAGCATTTGCAAATCCATAGGATTACAGGTTTTCATTCTTATGCAGAAACATCCTGGTCCCTGGATGAGGTGTCAGCTCCTGAGTGCACAATCCTATTAGTCCTTGAAGAGTGCATATTTGTCACCAGCATAAAATGCTTCTCTTTTCCTTTTCCTCCTCAGGCTTCTGCGACCGCTCTTGCCAAGTGTGTCCTAGCTGAGGTGCCCAAGCAGGTGGTTGAATACTACAGCCACAAGGAGCTTCCTCCTCGCTGCCCCAACATGGACTCCCCTGATGCCAGCCCCGGCCCTCCACAGTGAAGAGGTGCCAGTCAGCCTCCAGCCAGCCACCACCCTTTACTTTTCCTTCCAATGCTGAGTCTGGAGAAAGGGAGGAGGACAAAATGGGGCAGGGAGGTGGGAGAGGGAGAAAGTATTTGTTTCCAACACCTCCCAGGGCCTCTGAGATTGGCCTCCCCTTCCCCCAGTGCTCACATCAGACTTCCCCCCTTTCTCTTCCTCGCCCCCTACATCTTGTGTTTCCACAGTGACTTGTTCTAAAGAGGTCTGAACTAGGGACCATGGCCTGTGTGTGACGAAAGGATAACAATTAGCAGGAGAATCCTGGCTCCTGATCAAGCCGCAGTGAGATCCGATGTCCAGGAAATAAATGTTTGGCATCCTTTCTCCTCTGTTCCAGAAAGGCAGAGTGTGAGAGTAGATCCTGAGTGAGGAGGAGAGGGGGGTTTGGAACCCCAAAGAGCAGAGTGGGCCTCTCTTCCCTTCAGAATAGGCTGAGGGAGCACCCCTTTCCTACCACCTCGACCCAGGTTCCTTTTTTGAACCCCTCCCTTTGCGGTAATAGTGAGAGAGTGGATGCCAAGTCCCAGTGTGATACTCCCTCCTCACGGCTTCTGAGGAGGTCAAACTGACCTGATTGGACTCCCTAGGCCTAGTTCACCTGACTTGCTCTTCCCGTCACTCATCAGTGGGCTCAGGAATGGAAAGGGAGTGGGAGAAATTAATTTGCAGGCCTGGTGTGGATGATTCTAGACCAGGACTGGGGAACCTGCAGCCTTGAGGCCGCATGTGGGCCTCTAGGTCCTCAAGTGCGGCCCTTTGACTGCATCCAAACTTCACAGAACAAATGCCCTTCATAGGATTTGTTCTGTAAAATCAGTCCAAGGAGGACCTAGAGGGCCACATATGGCCTCGAGGCTGCAGGTCCCCCACCCCTGGTCTAGACTGAAGGAGTTAGGTAAAGCCAATGACCTTACATTCTGTTCCCTGCTGCCCAGGAAAGACCTTCCTGCTCCCAGCCCCAAAGAATTTCCAAGTGAGGGTGGGCATGGGTAAAGACTTTGGAATTTATCTTTCCTCCCTTCCAAGAAGACAGGCCTCTCAGATGCCCAGGTGGCTTCCCTCTCTCTCAGATTCCTAACTGGCATTTTTTTTTTTGCACCTGGGACAAGGAGCAATAAGAGAATGTTCACCTGGATCATGGCCATGGGGGAGAGGAAGAACTCTCTGAGATGTCACAAGGTTTCTATACTATCAAAGGAGGAGGAAGTATCCCTGGGAGGAGGCTGCCGCCATTGCTAGGGATGGCTCAGTCAAGGGAGGATTTCCTGCAGCTCTCCCTCCTCCCCTTTGCACAGTCTGTGACTGCTAGGAGCAGGAAAAGGGGACAGGAAGTGTACTCTGGGCTCGTGCTGGGGGCACCAGGGGTGGGGAGGAAGTTCACCCTGTAATAGTGCAGTTGGCACCTTCTAAATTTTCTACCCTGGGGGCAAAGCCTTGTGGCCTCCACTCCTTACTTATGGCTCTGTTCTCTTCTCTTTCTCCTTTCATTGAGCTTTCTGCCCATAGGATTGTTTCTCCAGCTGTGGCTACTCCCAAACCCCGAGGGTCTTACGGTCAAAATGGTCACATGGAGGCAAACTACTCCAGGGCCTCCCTTTGCTCCCTCATTATCTTCCCTTCTGGCTTTTGCATAGTAAAGTTCCCTTCCCATCCAGGCACCTGCTTCTCTCTTGGCTGGGGCCACCAAGATTGGCACCCTTGTCACTACTGACTTGGGCGCAAGGGCCCAGTTACAGGTGAGGTGGGGTGGAATGTGATGGGATGGAGCTATTGCCTCACCCCATCATGCAGACTCATCCATGTAGATCCGTCTTTCCACCCCCTCTTACTCCCCAAACCCTTAGGACTGTCAGACGAATGCATAGGATGTGAGGCTCAGTACCCCACTTTCAGCAATATGCATGATGAAAAAACTCCCAGAAACCACTTAACCCCCCCCCCCCCCTGCCAGGTTTGTTGTCTGTTTACTTTTGAATCTGGTAATCTTCACGTTCTTGTGAGCTCGCCTCTGCCCCCTCCATGTGGTGTCTGCTTGCATCTGCTCTCCAGGAGTGCAGGAGTTGGGGATGGGGAGGCTTCGGAGGGACAGACTAACCCAATAAACAGTGTTCTTTCCCTGCTGCAGCCTGGTCCTCTTACTTCTGCATCTTTTCTCTGCTGCACTGTGTTCTATTTGGGGGGCTGGGGCTCTTGGTGAGAAGCCTAGGGCAGAATTAGGAAGTCAGTGGAACCTGCCTTCTTTCTCCCTTCCAGCTCTGTGCACGGGGAAGTAAGGTACAGGCCAGGGATGTTTTCTTTTGAAAGTTTCATTGCGGCCTTTCCTTTTTTTCACATCATCCCTGCTTACACCTTCCCTTGTAACAAAACAACAACAACCACCTGGATATTTATTCATCATTCTCCACCCATGGTTCCCCACCTCTCCAGTACAAGGAAGCTGGTACATTTCTGCATTTCTTCTTCGAGACCAGTTTTTTTTGGTGGGTCTAGAACTATGAGCTGATGAGTGTAAGAAACTCTATCAGGGATGTTTTAAAGAGGGGATCACGATGGTGAGACGTCCTAAGTGGCTGGGGATGGGGGTGGGGACAAGTCCCAGACATTGGGATTCCCGGGCTGTGTCTGGTGGGGTACATTTTACTTTTTTTTTTTTAACTTTCTATCTTGCCCAGGCTGGAAGAGCAGCGTCTACTCACTGGCTGATCCTACCCACTGCTGATTGACATAAGAGAGATTTGTCCTATTTTGTTCCTAACCTTCCCCCACCCATCGCTGGGCTCACCATATTGGTGCCACATTTAGTGCAGACACTTGGGGGTCTTTAGCCCTACTCCATACAGGAGCCTCAGAGCTCCCGAGTTCAAGTGATCTACCAGTCTCGGCTTCAATAGCAGGGAGTTATAAGATTACAATTTTTTTACTCTGCTCATTGGTAGTGGAGCGAATGGGTGGGAATGGAGGGTTGGTCAGAGTGACCTGGAACCATGGGGAGACCGGTAAAAGAACCATTAGCTCAGGCCTGAGATGGCTGGGGGCTCTGGTTTCAGACACTTAATACTTGTGTGACCCTGGGCAAGTCACTTAACCTCTGCGTGCTTCAGTTTCTTCAACTATAAAATGGGGATAACAATATCAGCTACCCAGCGAGGTGGTGCAGTGGATAGAGGGCCAGCCCTAGATTCAGGAGGACCTGAGTTCAAATCCAGCCTCAGACACTTACTGACTGTGTGACCTTGGGCAAGTCACTTCACCCTGTGTGCTTCACTTTCCTTATCTGTAAAACGAGCTGGAGAAAGATAACACAAATCACTCCAGTATCTTTGCCAAGAAAACCCCAGATGGGATGATGAAGAGTCCGACATGGCTAATTGACTGAACAACAAGGTTGTAGTGAGGATTAAATGAGATAATAATCATAAAACACTTAGCACAGTGCCTGGTATAGGTGCTTAATAAATAAATGAATGAGAGGTGTCCCCCACTGCCACTGATAGGACTCTAGCTAGCAATGTGATATGCTGGAATTACACTGGGTATAAACTCAGAGGACCTGAGTTTAAGCCTACCCCTATTACTCACTACCTGTGTGACCTTGGACAAGTAATTTCACCTTCCTAGACCGTGGTTTCCTCATCTGTAAAGTGATATGGTTGGCCCAGATGACCTCTGTGTCTCCTTCAGCTCTGTATCTCTGACCCTGTGGCCTGGGGCTTTGTCCCTCTCTCTCTCTCTCTCTCTCTCTCTCTCTCTCTCTCTCTCTCTCTCTCTCTCTCTCTCTCGCTCTCTCTCTGTAGAGGTATTCCTCCCCTCTGTTGGGATGGAGAACAAGGGCTAACATCTGGATGTTGCTGTAAAGCAGCATTCTCAAGCACAGCTGTTCATACCCCAGCCCCAAGCAGGGCAGCTGCTGGGGACTTCCTGATTGAAATCCCCCCTAATTAGCCTGACTGGGAAAAATAAATAGCCTCACCTCAGCCTCCAGACCTTCTCCATCAATCAACTTCAGGGATTATTTATAGTGCCTGATTCATCTCCCCTTAAGCAGGGATAATAGATATCACCATGGCAACGTGGGTGATGGGTGAATTCCTGATGGAAGTATTCTCCCTCTTTTGGGATGGAGTAGCCCCTCTCCTAAGGTTGCCCTCAAGGGTTAGGACTTCCTCTGGGAAGCCTCAGAGCCTGGAGGGGACAGAGGTTCTGGGACCAGGACCTGGAGAGAGCTCAATTCAAATCCTGACCTCTTTGTTAATTTGCTGCATCACCACAGAGTTCACTTGACTCGTCTTGTTCTAGCTGTGAAAAGTGTCTGACAATCCCAGGGCCCTTCTCAGAAGCAAAAATAAATGGGAAGAGCTTTAGAGACTGAGGAACTATATTCAAATCCTTCCTCTGACACCTACTGGCTGTGATAGCCTGGCCAAATCCCTTTACTTCCTTGGGCCTCAGTTTCCTCATCTGTAAAATGAAGGGGATGACTAAATGGCTTTTGAGGTCCCTTCCAACACTAGGACTACTGTCACATAATTCCAAGACACAGCTTCGTGAAGGCACTTTGTACAGAGGCCATGCTACTCTCTGGTCTCTATGCAGCTGGTCAAACTCTGGAGCATTGGAATTGTCAGGGAGTAGTGTTTGAGTTGAAGTGGACAGTCATGCCAGGCTCAGATAAGGGCTTAGTGTCCTTGACAAACTGGTGGGTGTCTGAACAAAGGAAGCCAAGATCATAAGGGGCCTCAGGACTGTTCCCTATCAGAAATGATTGAAGGAATTGTAAATCTGGACAAGAGGAGATCTGGGACGGCAGAGGGAAAGGAGGTGTGGAAATTCATTAAATTCAACTAGCATTTTTGTTCTTACTATATGCACTATGCTAGATACTAAAGATACAGTGACAAAAAAAAATTCTGCCCTCAAGGAGTTTCCATTCTACAGGGGAGGAGCTTACATTTTCTGTGATACTGTCTTGAAGTAGTTGATGGATTCCTTGGATGGGAGCAGTGAGTGGGAGAACTTCTAAGCTTAATGTGAAGAAACACTTCCTAACAATTAGAACCATCTCAAAGTAGAATTCATTGGCTCTGAGGGAGAGTGGATGCCTTGCTAGAACTGGACTGTTTATCAAGATTTCAGGGCAGCTAGATGACGCAGTGGGTAGAGCACTGGTCAGTGCATCAGGAGGAACCGAGATCAAATCTGACCTCGGACACTTACTAGCTATGTGACCCTGGGCAAGTCACTTAACCCCGATTGCCTCAAAAAAAAAAAAAAGGCTGCCACCTTTCTTCTTCTGGCACAGGTTGCATCAAACCTCTGAGATCACTTCTAACTTTCTGATTCTGTGACTTACTCTGCACATGGAGAATAACTAGTTCTTTTGAAAAAAACAAAACAAAACACCCACATACTTTATTGATATCTTCTGTTCTGATGTCACCCACCCAGACAGCCATCCCTTCTATCAAAGAAGATAAGAAAGGGGGGGAAAATCAATTCAATAGAAGTAACCAACATATCACCAGTAGAGCTGACAGTGTATGCTGCATTCTACATCCATAGTCCTCCTCTTCTGCCAAGAAGGAAGGCGCATTTTCTTTCCCAGATGAGGCAATGGGGGTTAAGTGACTTGCCCAAGGTCACACAGCTAGTAAGTTTCAAGTGTCTGAGGTCACATTTGAACTCAGGTCCTCCTGCGTCCAAGGCCGGAGCTCTATCCACTGTGCCACCTAGCTGCCCCAAAGGTACATTTTCTTATCTTTTCTTTGG